GGCTGAAGGGCTAAACGCAAGTCCGGGCGGAATGCCTCTGAGCTCTCGACTGCCGGTACGCAGCAAACGTACTATTTGGCTTCGCACATGCTAGCTTTGTCACTCTGCCAGAAAAATAGTGTTTCTGATAGGATACACTTACAAGTGAGTTTTGCATCTCATGAATATAGTGTGAGTAGTCTTAAAATTAGTGTTAGAACTCCATCTGTACGGTTCGAGATCGCTAAACGCTTTAGTTGGGTGTATTAGTATCGGTGGGTTAGTATTGGTGAATTTTGGTGTTCAGTTATATCACAAAAATTAAAACAAAGTTGTTAATCATGATAGAAAAATATACAGCTACTAAAATACTCTTGAAATGAAAAAGGTTGATCCGGATCAGCAGGTTTTTAAATATTATATTTATTTATTACTCGCCAGATATTTTAAAATGTACCTATGGGGAACACACATACATCTGAAAATGTGAGCAGAGAGGGAAGCAACCGTCCCATCCAAATGTTCTGACTATCGTTTCAGGAAAAGTCTTAATTTCAACTCTCCTGCCGCCGCTGCTATCCACGGATTCATCGTGTTTATACATGTTTGGTCCCCCTCCGGGGAAAATATTCACGAGCCGATGCCAGTAGGAATTCCCGTGTAGAGACTCAGCCATTGGCACTTCAGTTCGATGAAAGAAATAATGCCATCCGTTGTAACTGGTACAAATGTCAGCTTTTGGTTCAAGCTCCTAAGGTTGGTTTGACGAATCATTTTGTACATCGTTCAATTCAAACATAATTTTTGTAATGAAAAGCACTCGCAAAAGCGAAAGCCGCGAGCACAGGAGGGAGGAAAGAGTTGGACCAATGAGTACTGAGATAGCATAAGCTGCAACAGTTTCTAATGACATTCAGGTTGATACTTTTATCTTCAGAGATCGAATATCTTGCCTTATTTCAAAATGTCAAAAATAAAAATAATGCTTTCGATACAATAGGGAAACACCTCTACGCTACCAACAGTCCAGTTCTGTCGGATGGCTGGATGGTCATCTGTCATTAACCGAATGAAATGTATTTGACGGACGTTACCTGCTTTGGTCTGAAAGAACGAAATCCGTTATATAAAATTGAGATAGTTATTTTCAGCTTCAAAGACACCCTAACCCACAATATCTGATGGCCAGGTGGGCGGCAGTCGTTCCACACAGTGGCAGCCGGATCAGAATCGTGGTGGCTGGAGCAGAATCGTGGAAGCCTTTTCTTACCGTCCACCCTCTTACAAGCAAAGAAACGAAGAGATATTCACCATCTCAAAGAAGCAACTGCATTACTAATGAATTCAATCACGAAAGACACAAAATGTGAGAAGATTAAGGGTAGAATGTAAAAAGAGACAGATACTGAATTTCACACACAAAGTAATGAAAAAGAAACGTCAGGAAAATATTAAACTAAAATGAAACGAAATAATTTATGAAATACGATTTTATAAATAGTGTACACAAGATAAGCCTCTCTTTTCGTGTAATCTTGTACTATGCAATGTTTGTCTACCGTGATTCTATAATATGTTACAGTCTAGCTGAATAGGGATTTAAAGGTTAAATCTTAAAAGTTAGGGAAATGAAACCCATGGTACAAAAAAACGCCTTTTAAATCTTATAAGAACAACAGTGATTATATTGTTAATAATTAAAGCAATATAAGATTATTTGATAATAAACAGAAAACTCCAAAAAAAGGTAAAGGATTAGTACAACTTTGATGATAGAGTATCGCAAATGAAATTAACGAAAAAGAAATAAAAAGTTCCAAGGAAGAAAGGAGAGAGAGCGAGTAATCAGCATGTAGAACGTATGTCACAAAGGAAATGAAAAGGACAATGTCATGAAATGCGAATTAAGACCCAAGAGAAATCAAGGCTCATGAAAGAGAGAAAATGTAAGAACAAAGAAAAAACGCGAATAAGAGGAGGCCGAATCAATACTTGGCAGGTTTTTCCCGATTTGTAGAGCCGTCCAAGTCTTTCCTGTCTATTCAGCGAAAGTGGGGAAACTAAACAAAGTTCGGAAGAGATAGTCAACATAGCAAAGACTTTCGCCAACATATGTAATATAAGAAGACATATTTTAATATAAGCATGTAAACAGTTATGGAGAAAAAATAAATAGGAACGACATAAAATGTGGAAAGACGATCGAGCACATAGCGGGGCATCAATTAATGCTGCAGCAATGCCTCTGATCGGGAGGTCTTAAGGTTCGCGCTGCAACGGATGGCAAGATTTCGGATAGATAGCTTGGTCGAATTCAGCAGCTGTCTGGAGCAGACTTCTACCGGTCGGTTGCTCTGTACTTTTCCGCGGTTTCTTCGATCAACACTAGGTGAATGCTGGATTCCTAACAAATGGATCACGAACCTCGCGCGATATTTCCTTCCTCTTCCTTAACGGAATCTCACCCCTTAATTATATACACTTACACTAATGTACATGCAGTGCTATACCACACGCGTAGGCAAACCAGTCTGGAGGTTCGAACTTTTTCCGGCTGGGATGTGCACCGCTGGTGGGAGATAGCTGGTTGAGGAAAACCCCGAAAGCCAAGGTGTAGGTTGGCGCCGGACCTCGTCATCGAACGAGGGGAAGATCACCGCCACCTCCCGCAATAAAAATACACTACATTTACGGGACCAATACCCTTATTGTTTCAGGGTATCAGGGTCATTGACGGATCTGAAAACACTAATCAATGAATCTATCTATCGTATCTACCGCCCAAGAAAAAATTAAAGATGCGACAGATTGCAGTGACGACCGAGCACACAGTGGGCGGAGCCTCCAAAGCGGCGGCGTCAAAGCCCTCCTTGACCACCCCGCGCCACCCCGTCGGAGGGGCGTCGTCGCCGGCGCAGGTCGTGCTCGCCGGCCGCACGACCGCCGTCACGCCGCAATTAAAGTAATCAAGGGGATAATTACCGGCCATTAAGCGCGGTGGTCGTGCGCCTGCTCAGGCGTGGAGACCCGGGAGCTCCCCCTTTCCCTCTCCCTCCCCTCTTGCCTTCCCGACACCCCCACCCCGTCGCCACGGTCGATCATGAACGAGACGCCCCGAGCCGGGCGAGAATTCGTTGCATTAGCCTCTAATGCCCCGCGCGCTCGCCGAGAAGAAAACATCAGACGCCCGGTGAGCGTTGCGGACGCGCAGGTGGGAATCGATGAGCGCAGGACAATGAACGAAATATTGGATCAGGTGGCGGAATCGAAGCGCGGCGGGGTTCCTTCGTCGCGGGGCAATCTGCGCTCGAAGTAAAAGTCGCATTAAATTGAAGAACCCGGCGCAAGAAGTTGTGAACACTGGTCCTGGGAAAATGAGATGACCGACTTTGTAATTAAGTTTTTGATTTGCTATTTCGTTTTATGGACTTTAATGTGATGTTGTAACATGTCTATTTGAAGGCTACCTCCCATCTTATTACAAAAGAATATTAGTTTATACGTACATATAGAATTTCATTTTCACTGTTGCCCCGTACATCTGTTTTTCTCGCTTCACACTCGTAAGTGTTTTGTTCGAAAGCTCATTTACGGTACTTGTTGAGATAAAGGTCTGTGCCAACATTTTCCTGCTACGCTCAAAATGTCTTCTTATGTCAGTTTACTGCTGAATAGCGCAGGCTGCTGATACATCAACCGTTTTATATTTTTCATTATATATTTAGCAGTACAAGTAAATTTCATTGAAAATGAAATTTTTAATTTTTAGTCGAACATTTATCTTAAGAGTCAAATATTGTTGAAGATAGCAGTACATGAACACTGAAACATTTCATGTAGGACATACAGCAGCAATTTCATTTGTTTTTGCTGTTTTAGAGACAAATTTCTCGTTTGCAATAGCAACTCATGTGTCGACTATTATCAGGCCTAGTCTAACTGTAGGGCCAAAACTTTAGTAATGTGTTATGTTTTTGAAATACATAATATGCACTGTACTCTTAGTAACTTACACGACACTTAGAATCGACATTCTGGGATGGTTTATTAACTAATATGAATTTTCTTTGCGTTATTCTGCAGGTTTAGAAACAACATTAAATATTCAGCGTAATATTATCGGACTGTTACACTACTTGATAGTAATTGCTACGTGTTGGGGGAATTCAATAATACATTCAACATATGAATTTATTGGGACCATTTATAAATTCATAAGACCGATGCGTCGGTCTGTGCTTGCATGCAAGAAGAGTGTCACTCTGGCGGATGCCCCTAATTCATTCTTTGAAGCAACATTGCATGCTTCGCGAACTATATCCTATTAGTACATGACACATTCAAAATAAATATTTTTAAGTATTAACTAACACGTTTATCTCATGCTTTTTGTACGTATTTACGGTGTTTTTAGTGTAATGCGTTTCGGAAGATTTATTTAATTCTATTTTTTATTTCTATGGTCGTGTTTCTCATGGTCTAGTGAACTCAGATTATGAGTTATCCGTTCTGAGGTAGAATTGTGGGTCAAAATTCCTCCTAAATCATGGACTTCAAATCGATCGGGAAACATTAATTTTGGAGAAAATTGGCTGAACAGTTTAAGCGCTAGCGTTGACCACAAACGGACCAACATATGTCTTGCCGTCAATCGATTTTTCGGTATCAAGATCCAAAAATCATGAATTATTATCACATAGCGTATAAAGGAAATAATTTACTGTATATAGAAACTAGATTTATTAACATTTTCGTCACCAGGGTCCGGCAATAAAAATTTCGAGTTCCGGGGCACGGTTTCAATACTTTCTCTTCTTACGAAGTAGGTACGAGAAAGTAAAAAGCAGCAAGTTGACGCCCCTATTGCCTTGCCCGTGGTAGAACCGACGCTGTGTGTATTATACTGCAGCGAGCGCAGCGCCGCTGCCGGCGGCCGCGGAAGACGCGTCGTCGTCGTCGGCGGCGGCGGCCGCTGCGTCGCGACGGCTCAGGCAGCGCGGCGCGTGCGTCGACCTAAAGCGATGCGTACGGTGCGTGTTGCAGATCTGGACGACAGCGAGTGCGAGGAGGTGGCGCCGTCGCAAGTGCGTGTGCACGACAGCACTGCGCAGACGCCCCAGCTGCGGCGCATGAGGTGAGTGGCAGCGGAAGCGGCAGCGCGCGCTAGCAACGGGGGGAGGGGGGGGATGCACAGGCATAGGGGATGGTTTTGTTCTTGTTTATGATACCTGTGACCGGATGAGATGGCTCAGGGCATCGATTGATGTCGCTGAAGTGCCTTTGGCTGGGGTGTCCTAGGTTCCACACCCGACGGTGGCAGTGTTTCGACACTAGCTAGACAGCTAGGTCGAAATCAGACGCCGTATGGAGGAGAATTCCAAGGACTACTCTGATCGATAGTTTTCCGTAATTTCTCCCATTAACACCACGCGAATTCTAGAGTATCATTCCTTCCTCTACCTTGTTCTATCCTTACTCCTTACTTATACACACACTTACATCCATCCATATACTACACTACCTCATACGGGAGAACACAGCTTGTCCCGGCCGTTCTCAGCTAGTGGGATATACCTTGTTGTGGAAAAATCACACGTCGGTCGGAGGGATTTTCGGCGGACGGGTAGGTCGGCGACGAAACTGGCCTCTTAGCGGGGAATGATCACCGTCTCCTCCCTTGATAAAAACATGTATTACACTGACGAGACTAATGACTTTATTCCATGCGCCAGGAATCACTATAATCAATCAATGATAGCAGTGACAAAGCTTCAAAGCAGTACTGCTTGGAAGTGATTGAATGATGTTGATGGGGTTTTTAGGGGTAAATAATGAAGAAACAATGGTGGCGTGGGAAGTACGGGAAACGGGTGAACTCCTAGAAAATCGAACTAACCCGTTTCCCACCACAAATTCCTCATGGATCCATAAATATGGTCTGAGTTGGAACTGTTAACTTGTTTCAATCTTATGTAATAATACATGATGAAGGTACATACCTTCTGTTTTAACCTTCGTTCTTCAACGTACCGACCAAAATGACCCGAACTACAAAAAACGCGCATGGGTGACAGGGCAGGGATGTTAAACATTTTTTTGGAGAAAATGATAATTTATCGTTCATTGACATGAAGAAAAGGATGTATTTTGAAGTTTAACTACGAAATGCATACAATTATTTTTTTAAGTTGACTAATTCTACAAAAAAGGAAGTTGGGTCAAAAAGTCCTGACGTTGAACGTAGTTTACGTCCTGGCGTAGACTATACAAGACAAGCCAAAACTTATTCAAAATCTGATTTTCATTACACGTGAATATATATTATGTAAATTATGTTAGTACATCCAACCATTGCCGAACGTACATTTGATTACCAGAGTATATAAAGAGCTAATCACCAAACGTTTGGTACCGATAGTAAACACTAGAAAGGAGTAGAGATCACTATTGACAGCTTGGGGAGAGGAGATAAATAATTATTTCATCCTCTGAATGAAAGTGGACTGCTGTATTACATCCAACTGTTTTGAATTGTCTTTGAACATGATTCGCAATAACCCAAGGCAGAGCAATGAATTTAGAACAAATGTGTTAAAATATACTATTTTGGCAAAAAGGGACACAACCCGATATCTCTAAGTATTAACGTTTCTTTTATACTGTAGAATTCTAAAACATTTCATATTATAGTTAAAAGTAGAATGTAGATGGGTAGGTTTCAAAAAAAAGTGTTCGCAAACTTTTTATCTTCATCAACAATTTAAAAACATACTGCAGAAGATTTCTTTCTGTAATTAAAACGAAAATTTATCTTGAGGTTTTAAGGGGTTAAATAGTATGCAAGGGTGAATATATTTTATTTAATTGCATAGTTAAAATCCTAATAACAGCAGGCTTAGGTAGCAGTATGCCACATCTTTTCAAGTTCACATAAAATATTTATAAACATTTGAAAGTGGGCGACACACTGCATCCAAAACGTTGTGTTATTGAGATTTGTGAGACAAGTTATGTTATTAAATAACAGCGTCTACTGACACTTGTGTGTAATATAACCTCTCAAGACGTCTACAGAAGAATGTCAGAATCTGTTATAGCCAATACCTAGTTGTTGTTTTTTTTAAATCGGAGTTAGTACCTTGTTTTTGTAAAATGTCATTTTCTTGAAAAATAAAGAATTGTTTGCAGGCGACTCCTCGGTGGGCCGTCTGCACGTCTTTTTCACGCTTTGCAATTCCACTCGTCATGCACTCTTTGCCGCGGACCGGTCGCCGTTGACATCTTGATGGCGGTTGCCTCAGGTTACGACGCGCTTGCAACGCAAGGAGAGTTGCGGCCTCTTCAAGTTGCCCTAGTCTGTAGTCCTCAGCCCACGACCCGCGACCGAAGCGCTGCGTGGAAGGTCGCAAAGGGATCTTGTTCAGGGTTTGGGAACGCGAAATTGAAACTCGTCCTCTCTGAAAGGGGCCACCGATGTCTTGATGCCCTTGGGTAATTTGGTGTAGTTTCAAGGCCTGAATAATGCAGTATTAAAAGTAATTGATTACACAAGGCGCTAGAGCATCTTCGTCGCAGTGTGTAATATTTTATTGATTGTACGTTCATTTGATTATATTCCAATTTTTGTAGTAAAAAATATGTACGTCCAGAAAAATACATCTTATCTCCGCCGCCTTTTCCAAAAATAATTTGTCACCCGTAGATGACAGAGGTAATATAGGGTATTATTGACCATTAAAAAGTATTTTATCTTATTAATAAAATAAATTTGTATTACAAAAGTCCTCTAAAATTATACTATGTGGAACTGTACTGTGTAGATTGCACACACTTCACAAAATTCTCAAAATTTAATTTCATAAAGGTTAGAACCTTTGACAGAAACCGAAATCAGAGAACAGCAACAGCTAAAGGGGTGAGGAAAGCGATAAATAATATACAAACCAGTAATAGTGGTAAAAGAGCTACTTTTAAGCCTAAGTGTCTCTTTACTTAGTATTTCCTTAGACTATCTTCCCTGGTTGGGTTTACAATGAATTTTAGTTTAACCCACCATGAAACTAAACCGCATAAGTACTGTGTATATCACAATCTGGCAAACCAAGTATATTACCTTCAAACGCATGGTAAATGGAATACATCTGACGAATACGAATTTGAATTGTCATACTTATTTACTCGTACATACATTTCATTAATCAATAATCCATATTTACGACGTCGATCGTCTAACTCGATCGTCTGAGAATTAATTGTAAGATTATTAATCTCTATGTAAGGGGCGATGCAATGACAAATGGCTTTCCCCATGTCAGAATTTTTTTTCTAATAAAAACTTGGAGGAAATTGCTGTAGGATACGTTGAAGATTACTTTGAAGTTATGAGTGAAGTTTCAATGTTTATAATTTTATTTAATGAGCTATCGAACGAAGTCTAATGAATTTTAAAACCGAATTAAATGTCTTTCAAATCTCAAAATAAATATATGAATTTTGCCAACAGAAATAAACAATTGAATATTAAAATTTTATCCGGATAATCCAGATGATATATATTCTAAATTCAAAAAGCACAATATACATTTTCGTATAATTAGTTCGAATATGCTTTCCATTAGCTTTCGCCCGTAAGACCCGAGTTCGTTGTTTTGTTTTGGCTATTCTGCCAAATCATAAATCTCTTTATTGCGTGCCCTTCATGGTCATGTCTCATTGTCGGAATCATATGAACTGTCGACAGTGAAACTTTTATTACTAATCGTGTTCAATTGAAAATACTTCGACATCGTGATACAAACACTGACCTTCTAGGAATTCATCATTCGTAAAGAACGCATTTTGCGTAACCACCCAACTAAGATAACTGCTTCGGGCTCTCCATTATTTTCTTAATCGGCGCCATACCAAGAAGTTGAGGTGCCCGGCTCCTGGGAGGCACCAAGGTTAGCGTGACGAAGCCAACTGCAGATGATGACCATGAGCCATGACGAAACTTGGGCAAACATACCATTGGTATACTATGCGTTAAACGATGTACGAAATACGTTGAGAACTGAATACATCCAAGTAGTTAACTACAGATATTTTCATTTTATTATAAACTATGACACAGCAATCGAAAATGTCTTGAAAAAAATCACAAGAGGTGTTTTGAGAATTTTTCGTGCCTGAGCCGGTGTTTTAAGACACAATCAACCAGTTCTTGTAAATCGGAGTCTAAACTGTTCCCCTTCATTTCTACACATGCCCCCCGCTTATCCTTAGCAAATTTGTTTCTTATACACTGCCAAAACCTTCAAAAAGATCATAAAGGTTACCCCGGTTAAGAAGGTTAAAGGTTCCCCTCATCAAAAGACATAGGAGTAGTTAAACTATAATGTAACATAATTACTAGTGGTGCTACAGAATGGCACATACTTTCCTATATTAGTTTTCTACTATCTTTGGTCTGAACTAGCTATTCTTGTTACATACTCTTGCTTGCTACTTCTTGTTACGTAGCTAAACTTGCTACATACTCTTCCTAGTGCCATCTATCGACACCCAGAGTTCTTTTCTTGTTGTTTTTTTAATTTTCTCAATTTTTCGGTTTCCTAATAGTAGAACCAAACTATTATTTTAAGAATATTAAAAAAACAGTAAACACTCCTCCTAAATGGCAATTGTCATTGAAAAATTTAGAGCTGATTTTAAGAAAATGACATTTAAACGCTACAGGAAATGCGAAATTTGTAGCTATTTTTCATAGAAAACTATCGAATTTTCGAAAAACTTGATATGAAGTCATTTCAAGCACTTTCAGTGGCAAATACAATAGTGTTTATGACTTGAGGGAAATTTGCATATTAAAGGCTGGAGAGATATTTCAAAACAATTTCATTTGTGTGATTTATTAAAAACAGAAAAATGAAACAAAATTCTATGTCAACTTAAACAGTGCAATCAGCACTATCCTTTAAAAAAATTGGGAAAAAAATTCGAGTTGTTTTTGAGAAGATGGCGTTTGAGTGTTTCTGTAATTGCGGTATTTTGAGCTCATTTTCACGGTTAACGTTGATTTTTTGAGAAACTGTATAGGACATTATTTAAAGCACATGTACTTATAAATATATTAATGTGAACAAATTGTCACTAATGTAAATATTAATGACGTGAGAAATAAGTCAAAAAATTAGTTTTTTGTAATTTTTGAGAAAACAAAAGAATGGAGCAATATGCCGTTTATGTTATATTATATATTGCATTTAGTAATATTCCTACCAAGAGTTTAAAGAAAAAATTTGGACCTGTTTTTCAGAAAACCTTGTTTTTGTAATTGTTTAAAATTGCTCATATTGCTCCCAATATTGTGCAAAAATTAAAAAAATGTACATGACCTTAATTAAAAAAATGTACATGACCTTAATGAATGAACTGAATGTGGAGAACAAATTTTATTTGAAAGAAAAATCTCTAATTTTGTAGTTGTAGGAAGAAGCCAAAAAATTCACTCCCTTACAATTTTCGAAAATTTACAGTTAATCGTGAAAATCGGACATGCGCCACCTTTATAAGTGTACTTTACTATATTCTGAAAATAAATTTAAACGTTTTGTAAGTTTTCTTATCACGTTATTTAAATTTTAATTTTTTTCTTCAACGTAACACTTTTTATCTGATTGAAAAATGAATGTCCCAATGAAAATAATAAAACAATTTATACTACCATAATTTTTTTGATATGTTCTCAACGTATGGTATACTATCGATATATTATCTTCTATATTTTCTAACATTTTTTAGCGTATGATATACTCATACTAATGATTACAAAGCTATTATTAAATTTGTAACTACATTTCAAAGACAAAATATTACTGGGTACTACAATAATGTATACAAATGTGTAATAAACACTCAAATGAATGCACAGAACTGTTGCAGTAATTTTCAAAGTGCATTTGAAGTCAATGTGATTTAAAAGCAGGAAAATGTTAAAACACTTTTTTCAAAAATTTTTTAAGAACAGCCCAGCAGTCGAAAACATCTGAAAATTTCTCATCAATTTGCGTTTTGAGAGAAACGTTTGAGATATTTTTTGAGCCTGCCATAATACACAGAAAAGTTTTTCCAAAAATATTTCATTTGTGTTTGAATTTGGCGATGAGAAAATATCAAAAAATATAGTTCTGATAGTATGAATTATTTTCTTAATTTTCCTTATTTTTGCAATCAGATAATATAGTATTAGGTTGTCGAAAAAAATTTTTTAAAAAAACACGTTTTGTCTGTAGACGGTTGTAGGTGGTGGAACGGAGGCTGAGAAACCTTTCGAAACGCTTATTAGAGTTATAGTCTACTGTTATTTAATTTGATTAGGAGAACTTTTTACCATCTTCTCTGGAGGTACCCTTTATGATATTTTGTACAGTGGATCCTCCAAACAAAAAATGTCAGAAATGGATGTGAGCGGAGTGTGGACGTAATCTAAAGTTGGGTTAGCGCTTGCAGTACTTCGCGGGATACAATCATTAGTTTGTGTGCTTGCAGGAACGGCAGCTGGGATGACGGCCGGCGGCGATCGTCAGGAACATCGGGCATGATCAAGGTAAGTGGTGAGACTGTATATACAGACTAAGAAATGTGTTTCGAAACATTGGGGGATTCAGATCGGAATTTTGGAAAATGGAATCATCAAGATGAGGTTGTTTGCCAAGCCCTTTTGATACTAAGCAAAATTGACACAAACTTGTTTTTCATTTTTTTATACAAAAATTTATTACGTTTTTACTGTTAGTTACAAAACATATGTCATTTTTATATTTTAATATAACGGATAATTAAAAATCATTCCACCAAACATCCACTGCTACAAACTACATTAAACCGGTTGTGTTTACATAAATGTTGTGCATGAATTTAGAAGTGGGTACAGTGAGTTTCTTGTTAATTGAAGATCTTAATTTTATTGAATGACGTCGTTTCTACCTAAATATTGAAGAGCTATTTTTTATCGCACACACTGTGCATAGGAAAGTTTGTTATCGTTTTATTCCCTTTTGTCTATATTTTCAATTGTAAATAATTGCAAATGTTTTCATTGTAATATCGTAAATTTGCAATGGCGGTTGCGAAAAGTAATAGTATAAATAATACACATGATACCATTCAACATATATATTTGTAATGACTTAATGGATAGCGTTAAGAATTCTGCTTTCCAGTTCAGAATAATGTTGAAACCAAAGTGGTTTATTCCTCGAATTAATAAATTACCATTAGCAAGTAACACGGGTGAGAACGCCGATCTGTATTTATTGCGGTTTTATTGGAGTATGGTTATCCACATGCATCATTAATACTTAACACTCCAGTAATTCGCTAAATAACTTTCTTTAGTTTATTATAGTCGCATCGACAAGAGCAAAATAACTGAGCTTGGAACGGATCTCGGTTTAGTTCCTAAGAACTAATCCCATTCTCAAGATCAGAAGCCAATAGTCAATGAACCGCGGTCAAATGGCCCATGTGGTGAGGGTCAGACCGCGGTATGTCTATTCTTCCCCTACTGCCATCAAACGTAAACAGTGAAGGGAAGGGAAAAGTTACATTCACAAACCTTGATATCAGTCTACATTCCACGCAATATCGCGTTCTAACGTCCGTCTCTTAGCCTGCAGCAACCACACTCGACGACCGTCACTCGAAAGCGCCGTCCTCATTATCCGCCATCCTCCCCTGCCTGCACAGCCCCTGCCTGCACAGCCGCTCGCACAGAACGACCCCGTCCTCCCGGGGACGCCCACCCTCGCCCCGTGGCGCCGCCTGGCGGTATTGCCTGCGGGACAGCGCGGCGGAGCGCACGCGTTGGTCATTGGCTGGCGCGAGGGGAGGAAATGATGGAAGCGTCGAGTCGGGAAGATCAAAGCACAGGAACAGGTGTGCTGGAAATCGGCAGACGTGTTCCATGAGCACCGTTCGTGAGAGCAGGCGGAAAGGCGGAATGGAGCGTGTGTGTGGTTTTTTTTTTTTTTTGCCCAGCGTGAAACTACACAGCCAACACCGATAACAACCATGAGATCATTTAACGTTTCTCGTGTTAATTACATTAGGCATGACGTTTTCCTTCGAAGAGTTTAAAGTCTACGTTATTTCGTTGTTCCGAAATGGTGCTGTTAACGCTAAATATTTAGAAACGTATACCGACTGTTTGATCTACACATTCCGTTTCTCATTTCTTTCGTTGTGCGATTAGTTTGCCTATAACACTTCACATTTCCCTTGCAAGTTGGAACCATTTCCATTATCGTAATTTCTATCGTTCACGCTTCAGGAACCGATAATCAGGCGGAATGTCTTGTTTGGATATTTCTTGAAGATTTACGCAGTTTCGCAGTTGGTACTTAACATATACGAAATCTTCAGACGTATACGATATCTTCAGATGTTTATTGTTCTATTTCAATTAAAGATATCATACAACGTTACAGGTGCAGTTTGAGACTTGTTTAAAAGTATAAAAAAATGTTGAAGAAAAAGTTACACGGTAAATATTTCTTAAAAACATAAACATGTACGAGTATTGATGGTGAAAACACCCACCACAGCAAAAATTCAATACAAACTCTCGTAATCAATTAAAACAAATAAAACATAAAGCCAGTAAAACATGACGAATAGATCACTCGTCTCTTGAAGTTATCAGTAACATTTCTGATAATACGATACAGTGCACTTTAGTACAGCACACTTTAGACACTAACAGTAGTCTTTTCCACTTATTTTTACGTACTGAAATAATGAAATATGAAAAACCGTGCGTTTGCTTCCAGTTCCACACAGAAGCCTCGGAAGATTTTTTTGTTCTGAGCTTGAACGCTGTAAGGATGAGGGGTGTATCCTGAATAAAAAAGGGCGGTGGGGGCGTGTTGGAGGGTGCAGACACACACTACTGGCGCCCCCCTTCAAAGGGAATTCACACGCGTCCGAGCAGAAGTCGTTTCTGAGAAGTAGCCCTCACTGCTGCGTCCTTTTCCTCCCCGTACTCCCTGACTCTCCTACCGCTCAACAATCCTGCAACCACTCCATCCGCCCCGCCCTCGCTGCCCCTGTTTGGCAGACCCCCGCCTCCCCGTCGTGACTGCCCTTTAAGCAACCTCCCCTCCTCGGACCCCCTACACCCTCTTCGGGTTTGTTCGGCTCCCCTCGGCACTGATCGGCCTCGCTCGGCCCCGCTCGACGTCTTTCGTCTCGCATCGGCTCCTATCGGCCCTTCTAGGTTTTCTTATGTCCCTTTTGGCCTGTCTCAGCCCCCTAAGTCCCTTTAGGTGCCCTCGCCCTCTTCGTCCCCCCCGATATTATATTTCATATATTTTGAATCTACATCATCAGTACGAGCTACTGTCGTACAAATAACTTTTATATTCTCAAATTTTAAGGACCATTACTTGAACCATATTCCATGGAAACAATTTCATTTAGTGCAGGTATACGGTTAAATTACGGGAATTATAAATATTTGTACGAGTTTCTTAGGATATTGAGAAAAAGCTTTATATACACTGAATACTTTTATAAATTATTCTTATTCCCCGGAAACAATTTATGTTTTTCATTTAATTTGGAAAAATGAAATTATTTCTTCTAAGAAAGTACTTCATAAAATGCGAAAAATACCAAATGTCTAATATCATTATCATTATATCAGACTACATGTATTTATTATCCGTAGGAAACGCGTTTTTCCGATGCCTATATTACACATTTTGGTGTCAATTTCACAATGTAAAAGTTATTGACAATTTTTCGATACACATGTCGGTATGCTAATTCTTCTCATACAAAAGTATTGATACTGTCTAGAAAAATGATTGCATTATCTCCTCCTGCGGTCTGCAACATCCGCCGCCCCGCCTCGTCCTTCTCCGACATGCCTACCTCACCAGCTACCCCTGGCCATCCCCTGCGTTCCCGGCCCCTCGCGGCCTCGTTGCGCCGGCAATATCGTTCTCCCCCGAAGGGGGCGTGGGAGACCCGGCACTGTTGCCACGTCGGGCGCGCCGTGCGTCCAGCTTAATTGCGCAGGGCGGATTTACGCACTTCGCCGGCGCGGCGGTCGCTGGCAGCGGGTGAGGCGACCGACGCGAGACCTCCAGTTAATTGCACGCGGTCGCGTCGCGTCGCGTCGCGTCGCGTCGCGTCGCGTCGCGTCGCGTCGCGTCGGCCCCTTGGCGGGGATGGGCAGCGCGCGGTCAGGGGTGGCGGTGAGATGACAGGCCAACGAGCGACGAGGGGGATACTGGCTGCGAGATGTGCGTGCCGCGACAGGTGATGGCACCCCGGATGAGGATGGACAGGAATTGGACTGCACACTGACAGCATCACGGAGGGCGATATTTTGGGAACGTGAATACTACTTTAATGTCACGTCTCGCAAAATTCAATTGATTTTTTCTAAAATTGATGGCAATAAAGTTTCAATTTTTTTTTCAAGACGTGTGTACTAATCAGAGACATGATGTCTTGTATTGGCCATGCAGACTTTTCAAAAACGGAAAAAAGAGATTTACAATAAATAAAAATTACTGCCTGAGTGATCTAACACGTTACAAACGTCACCTAAATAGCCACAATTCTTTTTCCAGAGACTGAACAACGGTCTTATGAATTTCTGGGCGGGGAATAAAGAATATGATAAGAGTGGCTGTTCCCTTAGTTTCAGCATTCTTGGTGGAGGCTCGCTGAACTAGTGACCGCCATGTTTTTTGAAGTGAAATCATACGAGTAGTACTGTACCGCTCCGTAACCAGCGCCAAGCGTAATGCTATACTGTGATTTCCTCAACTCTGCCCCTGACAGGTATCAGCTGTTGACTGCCATCCAATCGGAAGCTTAAACGTCACCATAGTGACGGCACTATTGGGATGTTTAAGCTCCCGATTGGATGAAACCGTGAACAGCTAACACCTGCCAGGGGCAGAGTTGCATAAATCGCAGTATAGAATACTTTGTTTCTCAGAGGGCTGTGCTTTGACTGCAAAAAAAACATGGCTTCATTTGCTTCAAAGATGGAGGCACTTCAGCCACTCTGTGTAGTATATTCTAGCTCGTTGATCTACACCAAGAACGGGAGTTTACGTATTTTCCGAATGATACCATAGTTGTAGTACCAACACCACAATAACGTTCCTCAACCTCGCGGATGCTGATCCAATCGTCAGCAAAGCTAGCGACGCATCCAGTTTCGGAAGCACCGCAACCCTCCCCCCACAACCCTACCACCAGGGGGAACCGCGCGAGCCCCCCGAAGTGTCTGCTTGACTGCGGGTTGCGATGCGCCGCGCCGCGCGGCGTCGCCCTTCCCCTCGCAACATGTCCCCCCCCCTCCCATTAGAAGCCGTGAGACAGGACATGTGCGTGCGGACGGGCAGGGGCGGGGAGATGGCTATGAAGACAAATTACAAGAGAATGAAGCCATTTTTGTGTCCGCGACACTCTGGGCGGGAGTCACTCTCTCGGTTCAAGGAGGGGAAAATATGGGCTATTAAATTGTGATGATATGAGAATAAATGAAAGATTTACTATCTTAATTTTTTGTCATCTGGGAAT